AGGGAACCGTAGGATCGTAAAAATGTTCAATTCAAGGATAACTCGTTTTCAGATGTGAAACCACTCGTGACCCAAGTAAGGAAGCACCTACGAAATGCTGAGAGGCTCATGGAAAGATAGGTGAGAGATTTTTTCCGCGGCCAATTCCAATATTGTTCCTATACATTGCCCCCCTCTCCCCTCCCCGAACGCTGTAAGGTGGGGACCGGACCTATTTTCAGTGCGCCGCGATTTTCGGCTATTACCAGATTGGCGGCATGTCGCAGGTACTCACAATAGTGACTCGTTTGCCGAAGTTACACACTCACACTTAGCTACTTCGCCAAGGAAAGCATTATAGATATGAGCGGAAAAAAACCACTCAACCGAATTATATAAATTTTAAATTCTCTAAAAAAATACAAATGTACGAAAAAATCTACCGTTTGCATTGCCAGAATCCGATCCGAATGGTACTCGAGGGCTAATCTGTGATACGCAGCTGTGATTTCCAACATGGATGGAATCTCAGAAATCCCAAGAATTTTGTAGTAATTGTAAATTGTCTACCTCTTGCCTTTTGGCTGGCTTTTGTGATCCCATATCTGAAAAATTCTAGACGAAAGAAGGGGTGTCGAGGAATGTACGGGTCAATAAGCACAACCCATACATTTATTTACACCCCTCCCGACATCTGCCGCGAAATGAGGGACGAGTCATAGCAGGAAAGAGAACGAAAGTTATTACTCCTACCTTACTGGATGTTAAAATTATGCAGTTTGTAGGACCAGATGTTAAAATCAGATATGGCACAAGCGACTAGAAGAAAAAAGAAAGAAATTTCAAGCATCAAAACGTCAATCGTCAACGTCAACATCAATTCACTGACAAATGTCAAATAAAGTTGTAAATTCAGTTTTTGCATTTCTCTATGTTGGTTGTGACGAGTTTCAATTACGCATCAAGCCAAGTACTAAAGGCAAGTAACTGTTAAAGAATAAAAGGACTGAAATACAAAAGAAACCTGACACCTAAAAAAAGAGCACTCCATGCAAGATCACAAGCGGCCGAAGAGGTAAGGGATCAGAACAGAGAACGTGGGAGAACGTGTTTGGCTGCTTTCATACTTCGACGTGCGTGCCGGCACGCAGGTGTAAACGTAGGTACAATATTGCGTGCGGCGTGCGAGCGGCTTTGCGACGGCGGCGCTATCCAACTGTGCGACAGCAGTGGGTATCGGTCGATACCGTAAACCGAGGATGACTGCTGTCACACACTACCACACTGTCACATCGTACCTGCGTTTCCACCTGCGTGCCGGCACGCACGTCGAAGTATGAAAGCAGCCTTTGAGGTTGTACTGCGTATCGAACACTCTACTCCACGTGGTTCCTCTTTCTGCCCTTGTGCGGATTACACAAGATGGATTTCAGGTCCCATGTATGTGTGATACATCAACCCACGCAATGGTCCACCGCCCACCTCTTGGCCCACCCAAGGTTCCTTCTTGCGTTCAAGGGAGTGGAAGTGTTTGAGTGCGTCTTACTGTATCGCACATTCACATGACTTCAAAATTCGTCTTGTGCGGGTTAAAGGTCGAGAAGCAATGAAAAAGAGATAGGCATGTGAATTGCGGTGAGAACGACTTCCTACTATAGCGGCCTAGATTCTGAATTGCGCCATTTTCTCTTTCCATAGATCATTTGGGAAACAACTACGCCCTTTGCCTCTCACGCATGAAGAAGCTCAAGATATTGGCTGCGCATGAACAGTGAGAGGTGCTCGCCGCCTTTGGGAAATAGTCCGAATAATTAAACGATGCAAAATAAGATTTGATCTTACTGCCGTAGCAAGAGTATAAATGGAGCGAACTGTTATCTATAGTAGCACTTATGCCAGAAAATAACGGTCGTGAAGCTGCCCTGGAGCGACTCAGGTAAGAAACTTCAGAATGTGGGCACACTTCTCAAAATCGTCATACTAGAATGCATCGGAAGATGTACCGATCGGCTGGCTGCTTTGCGTAATGACCAGGCGTTCGAGCGAGGACCTACTGACGGACTCCTGTAAGACCCTGGTGTCCATTCACACATTAGGCTGTTGTTGTACTTGTGAGCACTGGTTGTATGCATAAAATCACTGAAGTCAACGGGTACACAAAGTTTTTTCCACTGAGCGGAGCGCCTAAAATCAGTCCTTGGCTCTGTGGTTTATCAACATCAGATTTAGATAGTAAGCGTACTACTTAGTGTCATAGTATGGTGTTCGTGTATTTCAAAATACTGCTATCTCTGAGCTTCATTTAGACTTGTTGTCGTTTTGTGTACTTTTCGAAGCTCTTTGCTCTTCACTTTTATTAGTGAGCTTTCGGTATATAATGCATTCGTGAGACCTTAATTATTTACATAATATTGCTGCATACAATCAGTTACAATACAAAACACATTGACTCATACCAAGTCAACCGGAAATAGTGGGGGAAAAAAGGGGAATGGACCTGCCGGCGGGGAACTTGAAGGGAAAATGGACGCCGCTCTTGTCCTGAGATGTTTAAGTGTTATCACTCAATCAGTCTCAGTAGGTCACGCATCTCCTCTTTCGTTCTCCGCACCAGATTGCTAGCGCTTCCTAGAAGTTTCTGGGGCGCTCTGTAGTGTGTTTAAACTCTCTCGGAAAACTTCATGGAACTCTTTACATTCATTGAATTCAGATCCAAGTTGTATCTGACTAAAACTACTTTCGGTTGGAGACTGAACGCCATCGTCAGTTTAGAACTTTTTATTAAATATTAATATTCTAAGATAGCCTTAAGTATCGAGTAGAACTATATGCATTTCAGCTAGTTGTACTTCGTATAACAATAGATCGTTGCAAGACCACTTAGGAGCAGACTCTGGAAAGTTTCGAAGTTAGAGGAAGCCATGAAAATAAAATAAGACCGTCTTTGAAGAATCGTACCGCAACGAGGAAGTGCCTATCAATTATCGTACAGCCGAAGAACGAAATCCCATACGGTTTCTGTTGAAGGTAGAGTAGATGCAGTGAAAACAGAGGAAATACCTGAATCGGCATCGGTTACTGCCATTTGTTACATGAATTTAACGTCGAATGAGATCGGGGTGACTCGATAATGGAGCACCAGAGTACATTGCGACTAATTGCTGGTTGTCTTACCGCAGCTCCTCCCTAGTTGGCTCAAGAGCCTGCTGCACGCACCTCGTTAGGCCCGCCTTGTATGTGAANTAATGTGTACCGTTGTAGAGCGACAGCTGGGGAATCGATCCGCGACTAGAGTTCAGTCGAGCTCTTTTTGTCAAGGTCGTTATCATGAAGGGTTGTTGTGATAGGGCGAGAAAAAATCGATGTCTTGGTTGAGAACCGCGAAAATGTCTTTTTTTCTCTTATTTTCGGTGGTGCAGCATTAAGTTGTTGTCTGAAAAATTTATTCACTCTCATCTACCACATGGTAGCCCCACCCACTCCTGGACGAGTTAGCCTTGCGAAGGGTTGGCGCATTACTTAAAATTTTCATGCTAAACTCATTTACAGTTGTTCACTTACAGTTAGCATTTTAGGGTCTGGGACGATTTGCCAACGGACGATAAGGGCATAGCGACAGGCTTCGTCGACGTCTACACCCAAAGGCGGACGAGTTTTGACGGTGATGTAGAGCAAGCATCATTTGTAATGGGGGGCACATGTTGGAAATTCAAACGATTCGGTACCGGTAAGATTGAAAGACATCTCAGGCTTTATGGCTTACGGTGGTCAGCTCTTTACACAATTGCAACGATTTGAATCTCGTCCAAATACTCCATCCATGCCATCTGAAAAAGTGTTTTCCGTATCAGAGCAATAGCTGAGGAATCGTTCCGCGGCTTGAGTTCAGTTGAGCTTTTTCGGTCCCGTTGTTATCAGGAAGCTTTGATGTCGCGAATGCGATCTTTTTCTACTGTTTTCGGTTATTTGTTGTTTACCTCCCGTTTTCTAATTCTGTCATTTAGCTTTGATCGGGCCTATTCGATTATAGACGTGAACTGCGCAATGATCTGGCAGGCTCGAGGCAGCTATAAAGGGCAAGTCCCAAGTATAATGGATCGATATCATCTCATTCGTCTCAAGCACCGGCTGGGCTCAAGCCCCGATCTACTCACTTAACCTGTTACGTTGTTACGTTCACATATGTGAACAAATTCCGATATTTGTCGTTGATAGGGCGAGCGAAAAAAAGCGACGCACTGCTTGTAAACCACAACTTTTTATGTTTTTTATTTTCAGTGGTACAACATTAAGTTGTTGCTCTCATTCTTCATGCAACAACTTGAAGGCACTGTTAACGACTAAATGGTTTCGAAGATATGCACATGGTTAGAATTCTGAGCCCCCTCTGATAACATT